TAGTATTTTTTATTATACCTGCAGTATAATTTAAAAATAGGAAATACAATGAAATTGACGTTATACTCGAATACATGTCTAATTAAGTGGGCTGGGTGTTCGTAATTTCACGATTGCCATGGAAATGTCACTTAACGTTTGCTTATAAAAGTAATCGTCTTTGTGAATAAAACGATTTCCGTTGAAAAAGATAATACACTGTCCATTAAATCGCTTGTTGTAAAATGTAAAGAAAACTTGGTAGGTGTAAAATTCAAATCCTGTAAAGCCTATTATAAAGAATATGAAAAGTTGTTTCCATGGATGAATAGGAAGTTACTTACGAATAAAGTCTTAAATGCATCGATAATGCTGGCATATGTGAAGGAAATGTCAAAGGTATTTACATCTTCTATCTTTTGGTGCATTCATTCAAAACCTCAAACAATGCTGCGATTAAATAGTGGAACAGATTTGGCAGCATACCCTAAATACCAAAGGATAGGTACAAGCCATAGAAATGTTCTACATTTACAGAAAGCGACCTAAGAGGATTTTTTATTTCACCCAGATGACAGTACCTACTTCAAAAGTCATATACTTGAAGTATCATTAATTAGCAACTTTAAAGCACATGTGTTTTAAAGGCCTTTTTTCGCACGCATTTGAGTGATTAAAACGGAGATTGTGATTCAGCTATAATAAAAAAGAAACTATATACCAATTCCAATGTATTTCATAATTTTAATTAAACATTTTTGTCATTTGTAACTTGTTAGGGGACTTATTTTAAAACTGAAAATGTTACCTAAAATAAATATAGTGCAAAAAATGCCGCCCCCTAAAGCTGCCGCCCCTAGGCACGTGCCTAATGTGCCTATATGTAAATCAGCCACTGATCAAAATTGGAATTTTAATATTGTTAAAATCAAGGAACATCCGTGGCTTTTGAAACTAAGATAGTACCTAATGCACTTAAAAGATTACCAGTAATTGACTTAGGGCCGATTGCACAAACGCAGTTTAAACTTCGTTTAAATTAACGCAATGGATTAAAACATATGATTAGTGGAAATTTGACAAAACGTCAAATTTCAACCAATACTAGACCGTAATCCACTGGTTAATCCCAAGCTAGGTTTAAACTGTCTTTGTGCAACCGGCCCTTAGCAGCACCAAGAGTTATTTTACCGACGTGTCTGGTAAAAAAATTAAAATATTAACAGAGTTGCTCATACTCATATTATTGAATTGAATAGTAATTATAATAATTTATGGTGAAGAGTTATCGCAAGATATAATCTGCTATGCTATACGTGTTGCCTAAGAGCTGCATTAACAACATAAACATTCGATTTAAATAGTCAACGATTTAAACAAAGTTGCGAACGATTTTGGAGCGCTCAAAGTGCGTCCCTTTTTCCACCCCTATTTTTAGGGTGTGACGTGGATTTAGAACGAAACTATTTCACTGCTCCTAGTAAACCTAAACGACCCCGTTCAAAATATTCTTAGCGACTAAAAAAATATATTTTAAATTCATAGTCAATAAATTTTTTATTTAATATCATGGTACTTTTGTGCTTTAAAAACTTACCCCACATCCACCTTGAGTGCTACAGGGACAAGTAAGGGCACGTAGAAAGAGGACCTTCTGTGCAATTGTAATTTAATCAGCCGCAAGGTTTCTAAGTTAAAAACTTTTCCATGCATCGTTTTTGGAGAGAAGAGGGCGGATCCTGTTTACAACTTGGGGAAGATTTTGTAGTTCTCAATTCGAAAAGTCCGTTTTTCCACAATTTTTTTTTAAGAATCAATAAAAACCTATACAAACTGCTGTTAAAGTCTTAAAGATTACCCTTAAAGTCACATTGTTAATAGGTAGCCGAAATGCCGAACTCTATACTGATGATGGATTTAAAAATAAGTATGAATGTTCTTGAAGCCTCATACGTTCTTGAGGACTGTTTGAAATTACAGGCGTCAAATATTCTTATTTCTTTCATTGATTATGTTAAACAATCTACCAGCCTCCCTAAAGTGTTAATAAAACAAGCAACCCTTAGTCATTGTCAAATTACCTATCTTTTTTAACGAAACTTTGAACCCATATACGAAAGCATAAACCCAGCCATAAACAGCTCCAATGTTAAAAAGCAACCCTAGCCTTTCAATTGCTTTCAAATTACGTAGGTCTTTTCTCTTTTTTCAGTTTTCTACTTTCAGGAGTGGTGTTTTCCGAGGCGTCAACTATTTTTATTTTTTTTCTTGACTATGTAAGAAATTCATCGGCATCCCTATACAAATTGTTACGTTCCCTTTAAGCAAACGTAACAAAATTAAATTAGATAATCACACGGTAAGCTCAGGTAAAGTTGAGGTGGGTCGGGGTGCATAAATTGGGTTCTTGCACATTAGCAAAAACGAAACAAAAGGGAAATGTAGTAATAGCAAACCGTCACTTAGTCATTAGTAAATTTCAAAAGAGGAAAGCGAATAAAGGGGGAACATAAACTAAAGAAATAAAATAATTGAGAGGGATAGAACAGAAACAATAATCGATGGTAATATAATAAATGATCTCAAAATATTAGAGACAGGACACTGTAATATCTAGATATAAAATGTGATTGTTTAAATTTAATTCAATTTTTAACAAAAAGGGAGTCAACCTAAAATTGATTAATATGTACAACAAAATATAATGCGGCAGTAGTAAGAACTTACAAGTGATTAGAAGTAGACGAAAAGACCTTAGCAGTCGAAGTCGTACTTAACAAAAAAAAAAAAATTCGTATTCGGGAAAATTGTCAAAATCAAAACAGGCTTCTGTAGAAAACGACGGAGGTATAAATTGTTAAATGACTATCAAACAAATGTAGTAATTACAATTCGGTTGTATCGAAAACCCCATATGTAACCAAGCGTTATATAATACGAGTCGTCAAAAATAAAAATTCCCTGTGAACTCTAACGTCTGACACTAGGGTAAATCGAATACTAAAACCGTAATTCGGTTATAAATATTCAATAAGAATCAATAATTCGAATGACTTCACACTAGCTAATGCAAAATTTTGATTGACAACGAATTGTCCGCACAAATCAGTAAAACAAATCAATCAATCAATCTTTATTTGTCCGTATACCAAAAATAGGTTTTGACACGTCAGAAAATATGGTAAATATTAAATTAGTACAATGCATATATATATATATATAAAAGGAATAATAAAAACAGTTTAAAATTTCAAATAAATAAAAGCTAGACAGACCATGTGGCTAAAACAGAATATAGATTATAAACAATTTAAAATTTTAGTTAAAAAGAGACAAAACAGAGATAAAATATAAACAAGTAAAGGTAAAAATGACTAAAGAAAATACTACTACACAGGCACAAAAAGTTCAAGTAAACAAACAATGAAATAAATAAATATCATTAAAATTATTGAATAGATCTCCAAGGCGTATGTAAATATTCACTAACGTTATAAAAAGAATGACTTAATAAGTGCGCCTTAACGACTCTTTTAAATTTAAAAAAATTGTAAGGTTTGATACAATCAGGAACGATATTGTATAAGTCGACCCTAAGACTGTTATTTTTAGACCTACTTAGTTTATAATAGGGCGTTTTTATTTTTTTTGCTCCTCGTGTAGAATAGTTGTGAGAGAAGTCATTGGTTTCAAATTTATTTTTGTTTTTATGAATTTCCAATATGGTGTGATATATGAAAATAGATGGAAGAGGCTAAGTTTATGCAAAGGCATAAACGTGAGGTTAACTTCAATAAAACTACTTTACGATACAGAAATAACTAAATTTCTATACAACAAATGTAATCAAATTGAAGTAAAATGTAAATAAGATAGTATGAACAAATTGTTCGGAATTATTAAGAATAATACTGAGTCATAATCCGTGCATATCTCACACTAATTATGTGCAAATATAAATCCGCTAATCGTATTCAATAAAGCAGCCACAACACATCAGAAATAGACAGAAATAATATCCACTACACAGAGCCCTTTTCAGATAGACAATAAGTCCAGTAAAGGTAATGTCGTATCGATAAAAATAATTTGCACGTAAGCGTAACCACTGTGCATACCAGATCTTCTCTGTGCGAAGCAAGTAATACTGTTCGCAAGACCAAATTAAAGAAGGGATAGAATTAGAAAAATCACGGAAAAAATCTGACGACTTCTTTTCTTACCTACTTACATCTTTTTCAAATGTTTTTCAATAAACGTCAATACCTGAATGATTTATTAAATTAAGATTATTATTTACATGAAATGTATACAAAAGCAGAAAAAAGGAAAATGTTACAATAATAACATGATTTATTTTGTTGCTAAACATCTCGATAAGCAAATTACAAAATTTCATGTTGATGGTTAAATTGTTAATTAACATTACTCCAGAAAAAGGACTTGCCTGTTTTTTAATTGTATAGAAATGAAGTCAAACATTTTAGCGTACGTAGAAAAATCCAATCCAATCCAATTTCATCACTATAAATACATAGGCATTGAATAAGTAAATTCAATTAAATTACATAGGAGATTTTGTATGTTTAGAGTTTAAATTTACGCACTGTATAATATTCATAAAAAAAGATTTTTAAAAAGACCTGAAAAGCCTTAGTGGCTCCTTAATAAATTTAAAGAGTCTGATATCTTATGGAAAGTGGTAGCAGACTCCTTGCAGGGATGTAAACTATTAAATATTGTGACAGATTTTTTAACACCCTTAAAGGCTCTTTCAAGAGCTCTTAAAGATACTGTTATGTGTATAATTTTCTTTGTTCAGGTGAATTTTCTATATACATTACTACATTACATACTTTTTGGAAATATAAGCTAAAACCGCCATTTCACAATTACACATTAAGTCATTACCAAGGCGATAAACAAATTGCTTATTGTTACACCTATCGCCAGACCTTTAAGGCCACGGCAGTCATTATAATAAAATTGTTCAAAGTGGTTTTAATTACCGTACAATTCGATCTGTTCCTCACAGCAACCTCTAATATCCTATTGGATGCATTATGGTGCTGAAAGTTTGAGAAGGTTATGCATGTCATCATTCCAAATGTATGGTAATGCAAGCATAAAAAAACTGTCTGAAAAATAACCAAAATCAAGTAAGTATAGGTTGCCTAGCAATAATATTATGATAGTAGAGATCGTGGTATACCACGTGAGTTGTTTTTTTCATGGTATGCCAATTAATTATACAAATTAGTTAAAGATCTTTTTTCCAACACCGACACTTTTTTATTGAATTTAATCCCTAATTTTTGTACATTAACATAAAATTCAAAAATAATTCATTGTCTATATTTTTAGGATAGGTAATATTAAAAGTACAATTTATAAAGGGCCCTAAAGTACATCCCGCATTATTTATTCTTGTTGATATCAATGGCATATCATCACTGTGATTTCTTCTTTCTTCTCCACTGTAGCCCGAGAAAAAATCATTCCAGATCTCTTCTTTTTTCCTGAATGATTGTTCCAAATAGCCTTCGGCCACTGAAGATGATTGCCATCCCTCATGATTTTTGAGCGTAAGGAAGGTCTTCCCAGCTCCAACTAAAAACGATGTAGAGGATCGTCGAAAACAAATAATGCTCCAATCCCAAAAATTCTTCAGGTTACGGCTATTAAACGTGGAAATTTTGAAAATGGGTTTTTTCAATAATTGTGCACTTTTTATCTGTTATGTGGCACATCTTTCGGTCTTGATCCAACGTACTTCTTATATATAATGCCAAATAACTAATTGAGTTCTTCTCCTCCTCGACAATGGTAATACTCTTGACTTTTTAGTTTATGGGTCTGAAACACTAACTACCAGCACCGATCCTCGATCCTCTATGTCGTCTATTTTCATTTTTAACAATTCATCTGACCTGCAACCTCATTCATTGTTATTCCATTATGTATGATAAGGGGACTTTATCAAAGTAAAATTTAATTGATTTAGATAAACGATGGCACATGTGCCAAGTTGTAGACAAGGAAGAGCGATGTAAATAAGTAATCGCATTTCGTCGGCCCTTACCCAAGATGAAAAATTGTGATATAGATGGTCTGGACTTAAAAAATTATTTAGCGTACGTAACAGTCCGTTACGTTTAAATTCAAATACGCATTTTTCCGGTAGTGTTTGAGTGGTATTGTGAACTTATGCCATTGCCACAGCAATATACCAGTGTACAAACCTGTTGATTTTTCCCGTAGCAAATGATTTATTGCATGGACGCCGCCAGGAAATTTTGTAGGAGGGGGCAAGCTCACCATTAATATGGACGTGAGTGGAGGGGGTAGGGTATGCAAACTCAAGGTTACGTGCCAGTAACAAACTTATTGCTTTTCATTTTATTTAAACAAAAACATAACTCTTCTATTATCTGTTCCAAAGAGATCTATGCACTTCTCAAGTGAATACGCAACGCAAGGGAAACGATTACATGGCCCTTGCCCGTTGTGTTGCTTACGACAAGTGTTACCTTTTATTTTTCCCTTTTCCCAGGGGGGGGGGTCCAAGGCCCCTCCTTGCCCCTATGTAGCGGCGCCCATGATTTATTGCTGTTTCTGCTTATTTTAAGACATCATGGCAGAGGTGCCTTCATATGCTTCGTCACTTCCTTCTTCCACATTTTGATGTAATGATGCGGAACTATTAATAAGAAAGAGGTACATTTCTCTAAAAATTAAACAGTTATTTGTTTGAAATTCAAACTACTGATATTATACTTTGTTTCAATAACAGTTTATTAATCTCATAATTAATATAACAAATGTTTTTAGTACTAATTAATTCAATCTGAGCAAATTAGGAGAAAGAAAATCGTTTTAACACTTTTCGGAAATGAGTATAAATAATTTTGGTTGGGGTATAAAATGCTTTTAATTGGTTGAGGGGGGGGGGGGATATGTAGATCCGACCCTGTCGATGGGTATTCAAAATGGAGATCAAAAGGAAGTACCGAATGTATAATACGAGATTGGTTGCACGTGGATTTCCACAGCAAGTAAACTAAAAAGCACTCTGTAATTGGGTGGAAGACTATTGAGGGCCCAGAACAAGAGGGAAGATTTTGAGTATTGCACCGACCGCGTATTTTACAAAAGGCACTTTATAGTGTAACGTAAATTTAATTACGTGGTTTATTTATTTACAATTAACAGTATTCTTACAATATGATTTATCACTCACACATACACAATAACACCTCGAACTATTTATTACTTCGGCGTTGAAATTGGAACTGACAATTCGGTTTGCTTATATAGCAAACGCTCCCTGTTTCGCGAAAGATTCGTCTTCATTTTGTCGATGTCTATCAAAATTTCTGGAATGTTCGCTAGAATAGACTAAAAATGCCGGTTGACAGTGGTATTAAAAGCTGACCGATGTATTAATATACTTACGGCATACTTAACCTATTGTCAGCTAAGAATGTTGCTAAGGCACGTGATTGGATGTTTTTGGCAGATAATGATATTATTCATGCGCGATTTACATGTTACACAACCTTCATAACCTTGAATTTTGAAAAATGCGAATTAGTAACTGATTTGCTATATTGCCAAACTGATTCTTCTTACGACTTCGTATTAGAAAAATCACATTAGCATAGGTCACACGAGTTTTTTTTCATGTTATGTCAATTAATTATAGGAATTACTGAACAATTTTTTATACGGTCCATTGTCTAGCAAAACAATTTAATTCCATCATCTCTGTTGATGTTTAGGTGCTGTCGAACTTACAATCAGCATCATGAGAGTAACTTCATCGATATACAAAAGGGAATATCGTCTCCAATATTTAGCTACATTTGCAGGTAAAAACTGACTACTTGCTCTATATACCTAAGTTTGAATGAAAAATTTTAGGGACACTATCAATTTTGAGCGTTGGAGCAAATAATGCGTGGACATCGCCATATCTACCACAAATTACAAATGGAACCTACCCCGGTATATCAGTAACTAGCGACGAAGGTTCATGGATAGCCATCATGCCACAATTAGCGTCACCTCCTGGCGCACTAATTGCCGCTTACTTGGTCGATAGAATCGGTCGAAAAATGACGACCTTACTGATGGCTCCGATAACTTTTGCGATGTTCATCACAATGGCTTTCGCAAGGACAACGCTGGCATTCTGCGCGATTCGTTTTCTGATCGGATGCGTCGGGTCCATCTTGTACACGGCCTTACCAATGTATCTCGGCGAAATCGCCCATCCAGCAATCAGAGGTATTTTAACAGCGAGCGTTGCCTTCTCATCGTTGCTCGGAACTTTGCTGATCAATGTGCTCGGGTTTCACTTCTCCATCCTTCTCTCGTCGTTAATTTGCGCCGCTATTCCACTGGTACACTTCCTCGCTTTCATCTGGATGCCCGAGTCACCCTATTATCTGATTCGGAAAAACATGGACGAAACAGCTCGAGAATCGCTAGCAAAATTGCGCTCCACTGATGACAATGGGAATGAGTTCAAGATGATTTCCGTGGCCGTTAACGAGGAGATTGCCAACAAAAAGGCGCGTTTTTTGGATATATTCACAGTCAAAAGTAATCGCTTTGCCTTATTCGTTTTTATCATTTTAAATACAACGCGCAAATTCAGTGGGATTGGACCTTTCCTGTTTTACACAGTTTCCATTTTTCAAACCGCCGAGGGAAGTGTCAGTCCACACACATCCGTGGTTATCTTCCTTTGTATTCAAATTATATCGGCTATGGTGTCCCTAAACGTCCTCGATTATGTTGGACGAAGACCTATTATTATAATCTCAACCGTCGCTTGCATTATCACTTTGTCCATTAGCGGAACCTACTTCTACTGCAAGGAATACCATCCGGATTACCTCCAACATTTCGGATGGGTACCTCTGACCGTTTTAACGATATACATGGTGTTTTACAACTTGGGATTGGAGTTGACCCCGATGGTGTACGCAAGTGAGCTCTTTCCGACGAATGTGAAGGCGTCGGCGCTAGGTGTGGTCGACGTAATTTCCTCCTGTAATGGAATCGTTACGTTGAAGCTCTTCCACATTTTGACAGACCACTATGGGATGTATCTATCCTTTTGGGTATTCGCAGTATGCTGCGTAGTGGGATTGGTTCTGATTGTTATATACGTTCCAGAGACAAAGAATAAGACTTTGCAAGAGATTCAACAAGATTTATCGGGGCGATCAGAAAAAGCCTAGGTTTTCCTTTATTAACTTAAATTGTACAATTTTATTTGTTATAGGTGGTAGTGGAATGAAAGTATAATAAGATAGAAGGTTCAATTGCGCTCTTTTGAAAGTTACCGATCACCAATTCTTTGGTTTGATCTAGCGAACCCGTTCAATGACACAACATACCAGATAAGATAAACTACAACCACTCGGCTTGCCCAAAGGAACTTGAAGTTGAAAATTAACTGGGTTCGCAAACACACATGAACATCTGTCATTGCCAAAACGCGTAGAAGGCAATATATATTCTAAGAAATTTCTTTAGCTTACCTTTCCTTTACAGACTATAAATTTTGACTAATCCCTGCGTGCTTACTACAGATTTGCAACCCAATCGTTAAATAATGTTCCTGCCGAATTATTCTCCAAGTTTGTATTTAAACCGAGTAAATCTGTTCAAATCTGAATAAGAAAAACTAGAAGTGAAAACTCCCCTTGAGTTGGTGAAAATTTCGGTAATCGCATAATCGGAAGCACCTCGAAAAATCAAGGTGAGATAGATTAATTCTCTTAATTATCAATACGTCTTTCAAGTTCTCAAATGATAAATCTAATTCTTTAAGTCACGGAACCTACGGACCTACAATCTCTTATCTTTTCAATCCTATTCTATCCACATTAATAATAATCCCAGCTTGACTAATGACAAACCTTAAAAACTTCATCTGTCTCGTGGCTCTTAATAAATTCGCACTTCGTTAAATTCAACTTTATCCCGCTCTTCTCCAAAGTGCCTCATATGATTACAAACAAGGAGCGGGTCAAGTTATTAACGTAAATTTACGCATCTCGAACGCTTGGGTCGTGGATAAACAAAAGACACTGATCTGCTATTCGTTTAAAGGGGCTCAAAAATTTCGTTGGTTCCACTCTGGCATAATATAAATAGGAAAACGCACAGCGAGCTAGAGTGATCTGTAGCGTCTATGAAAGTGTACATCTCGTCTACACGTATATAATAGCTTCAAAAGCAAAAAGGGACGGTCACTCAGGGCCAAGAATTGCAGTACAGGGAAAACAACAAATTCCTCCTTTATAATGAACGATAACAAAGCACCTACCTTAAAAATCAAACTGTTAATTACGACAAGGAATTGATGAATACAACTCAAAACCAAACGCCTAAAGATGAACACATCTCTCCTCCATAATGCTCTCGCCTTATAGAAAGTTTGGCAATTTGGGGAAAGAAAACCTGGATTTTCTAGCAATCATGACGAATTCGAAGAAACTGCTCCAAAACTAATACTTTCTTTAATTAATTTTTCGGCTTCCCAACGTCATATAAATCCCGGCTCAAACATCAAGATAAATAAGCGCGCCTCAAATGACACTAAGCACACTCAAATGAACCGACGTTTGCTGAAACACCTCTAATTAGCCACCGGTAATTATGCTTACGTAATTGGTCCTAAATTCAGAAGTCCAGTAAGTAGTTTCTTGAAGTTTTCGGCGACCTTGCTCCTTTTAATCCGGGTTTTCACTTAGCATTACATGCATAAAACCACCGAATAATTAATAAGCGAAACTGAAATCAGAAAATATTAATTTTCCCTCGACTTCCAAATGACGAAGCTTTCGGATACTGCAAAATTAACTTAAATGTTAGCATTTGAAATACCGCACATTTAATTCTACACTCTATTGCCATCTCCTGGACGATAAATAAATAGATCCAGAAGTTTCATTTTTTAGTAATGAAGCGCCCCGTTGAGTGCATTTATATACAGTGCGTTCATTAGGTCTGGTAGATTTCATGGCGCAAAATGGATGCTTTGTTACAATAGTTCCCGACACGAATTGTTATTTTATTTTTCAACGTAGTTCAGGCGCGAAATAAGCAAAATTTCAAATTGGAAATTAATTGGTCGCACTGATGACCAAACGCGAATTGATTAATTTTAATTTTCTTTAAGGATCACACACTATTGTTGATGAATTGCTCCATTTGTAATTAGTGTGTTGCTAGAAGTAACGTAGTTCTACTTATTAGTTGGTCGCGATCGATTTCGGACGAACTTCGTCCATCATCAGGCGATACGTCAATATAGTTCATGATTCGTTTTTACTATATTGACGTATCGCCTGATGATGGACGAAGTTCGTCCGACATCGATCGCGACCAACTAATAAGTTTTTAATAAAAAATTAGTGTGGTCACACACTAATCTCGCTGCGTGCTCATCCAAATTTTTTTACTGAAATTAATTCCCTCTATTCTGTTTTAATTAAAGAACGCCTACAAAATGAATCCGACCATCTTTCATCGTGAATTCGTTTGCTTAATTCTTGCCTTAAAAAAAACATTAGATCTACTTTGATTTCAGAAGCCCACCTTTCGATAAATTCACAATAATGACATACAATTGATCTTGATTAATAGGTACAGATGTATTATTGTACGAAAGAATTTTGAGTTTAGTTGAAATTCTGAGTTTAAACTTGAAATTTGGAAAATTTCAGGTGTTTTTGTGTGGGTTTTCCTATTTGATTCAATAAAATCCAAAAGTTGTACTTTTTGCCCCTACGTGGTATAAGTTCACTCAATCCTGAATTTCCCAAAAAGTTGTTTGTAAAAAAATCATTGTGTTGCCTTTTAGTCCTCCAGGAATGTACATTTTTCTAAACTATGTGGCAAACAATCCGCGACAAATTTTCTCCTTTATTGCAGCTTCTCCGCTGATTTTCTCGACGAACAATAAGCGGTTCCTTCAGAATCCGACTTTTTCCCATTGTTCAGTTTCTTCAGAACTTTCAGATCCTTTTTTCTTCAGTAATTTATTAATATCGTCGCGTTTCCTCGTTTGCCTTTTTTTCAGAATTTTCATATTTTCAGGGTGTTTGGGTTCTTCCGGTTTTTCAGATCCTTCTCCATAAATCGCAAGACGCAACCCCATATCGCACACCTTTCGCAAGCAACGGCCCCAAACTATCGTGGAGAAAGAGTACGGGAGGATTCAGTTAGAAACGCGCTATAAACTTAAAATTTCTGCAGGTTCTGGTAACTACAAATTAAAAATAGAAATGTTATCCCAATACGATAGTTTTTTTAATGGATTTCTCAAAAAGGTAGTGAAGGCATAACTACATACGAAGACTTATAAGTAGATCACAGATCTCTATCTATCCATAAACATACGAGCATAATCATTACCAAAGAAATCTTATTAAATTGATGGTATATTGACACCTCCGCGTTTAAAAACTAGTTTAGTGTAATATGAGAAATTATGTCCAATAAAGAATTCTCAGCTTTTTCAATGACTCCAGGCGAATCAAATTTCTGTTTGTTTATATTAACTTTATAATTTTTTTTTTTTTTTTTTTTATTAATTTATTTAAGGTGCATTGAACAGCTTAGGTCTTTTACACCATTAAACTTAACTTAAAAATTTACATGAGTGATCTATATCTCATTTAACAGGTTTGTATTTTCTAAATAACCCAATAACTTTAATATGTCTATTTCAAACACATTCGTAATGTCTCTTGGTATCCCGTACTGTATTCGTTCTATATTAAATTTTGTACACTCGCACAATATATGTTCTACTGAGAGAGGTATGTCACAAAAATCACAGTTAGGTGGCGGTGTTAGGTTGTGAGTCAGTTTTGTATGTCCTAGTCGTAGTCTTGATATAATAACCTGCTGTTTTCTATTTAGCTTCACTTTTGGTTTCCAGTAAGTTGGTGTTTGCTGTATTTTTTCGTAGTTTGTTGATTTGGATGTTTTCCCAGTCCTCATACCACTTTTGGAAAATGGTTGTATTTATGAAATGTTTGGTATCCTCTGGTGAAACTGTACTGTCGTCTACTGTTTGTAATTGGAATTCGGAAGCTTCTTTCGCCTTTGCATCAGCTTCTTCATTTCCCAGTATACCTATGTGACTTGGAATCCAAATGAATGTAACGTTTTTGTTCAGTTCTTGAATTTTATATAAAATTTTGTGAATGTCTTTTACGTAACTGTTTGTAGGATGTTAATATAATTCATACACAAAATTAATTGTACACCTTTATTTATTACTTTCTTGGTAGAACATAAATAATTAATTCATATATTAATTTGATGGTTAGTTTGATCACTCAGATTCCTGCATTCCAGTAACTAGTGGCAACTACGAGGCTATTTTTTTAGTTTTCTACTCATTTATGAAACGTAGTGTAAAATTAGAACCACGGTGATTAGAACTCTGTGTAACTACTGTCGCACTAACATCTTCAACCGCTTCCTTCCCTCAAATAAAAATAAACTGCCTTCTTCTCTACATCGAAATTCTCTTAGAAGTTAGATTGATTTAATAGTAATAATAAGTAATTCAAACCCTGACAAAAAAAATGAATTTTAAGGGAACTTGATCGGACCTAGGAAGGAACTTGAGAACCACTTGAGTTAGGATTATTATGAGATTAGGAAGTATGGAAGAAATTTGAGAAGAACCCAAAGAAAACTTGAACGCTCTACTAAATCAATTTCCAAATAATTACACTCGAAAATTTGTATTAAGAGTCCCAAATTTCACTTTCAAGTCATTCGTTTCATTCCCTTAGGTGGGGTAGCCACAAATTCAAAAAACTTAAACTACACACTGGGTCCTCTGAAAATTCATTCGTATTTAGACTTTTTGACTTTGTTATACATTAATATTTATACACATCTTTTAGAATGAATAAAATGTTAGTTCTACAGTTGCAGCACTTTTTAGCGCATTTTTGAAAAAAATACGCTATTATATTCGTTATTGCTGGCAGGCCGGCTGTCCGCGTTAGATCTCCACAACTACAATAGCTAGAGACTTCAAATTTTCACTAAAAGCTTCCTGCTATAGTGTAGATGTGCAGGCACTAGTCTATTTTGAGTTAGATTACTTGCGAGATCGATAATTGAAGAAAATAATTTCGATATGGGTTTCGGAGGTGCTATAATTTTACCGTTAGATAGCGCTACCAGTATAAAAACTTATTATTTACTTTGTGATTTGTTTTACAAAATGAAGACGTGCCGTCAATTGAAATTAAATAAAATTAATTATTTAACG